TTGTAATATCATTGAATGCCTTTGGGAAGTTACCCTGATCTTTCCATTTCCCATGTGGTTAATAGTCTATTTGTTTTCCAAGTTTCTTCTGCTTATTTTTGTGGTTAACAACTTTATAAAAAAAAGATTATTTTCATCTTGGGTTTCCAATGTTGGAGCAAATTATTCATAGTTTTATGTCATCTTTTTGCATTCAATGTCTATGTTTTATATGTATCTTCTCCTTTTTAAACTTAATCAATAATGAACTATTTTGCTAATTTTTTTTAAAGAAACTTCCTTCTTGTCCTGAGCAACTCCATTTCTCCCTATGTGATTAATTTTTGCCATTATTTGTTTATAAGTCAGTATTTTATTTTTAAAGTCTTTTTAGGTTTATTGAAAATTTGGGTAGAATACGAAACATTCACATATACTTTTTCTCCCTCCCTAGCTGCACCTACATTATTTCTCCCCCCATTCTATCCCCCACACAATTTGCCCTATCATTAACAGCTTATATCAGTGTTGCATATCTGTTAGAATTGGTGAATCAATATTGATATCATTATTATTAACTGCAGTTTATAGTTTTTATTAGAGGTCACTGTATTGTAGAGTTCTGTGGGTTTGAAAAATGAACATCGCTATTTATCAGATAATTTCTCTGCTCTAAAATCCCCTTGTCCCTCCCTTGCTCCCCTCAACTCCTTGCAGCCACTGATCTTTTATTGTCTGTATACTTTTATCTTTCTAGAATGTCATATACTTGTAACCATACAGTATGTAGAGTATGAGAAAGAAGGCTTCTTTCTCAGCAATAGTCATTTTAGATTCCACCATATAAATCCTCCATATAATTTAAAACTATGTTGTTAATGGAATGAAATTGAAAGTTTATAAATAAACCCAGTCATCTATGACCAACTAACTTTCAACAAGGGTTCTAAGACATGGGAAGAAGAATAACATTTTCAAGTAATAGTGCTGGAATAACTGAATATCAAAATACAAAATAATGAAGTAGAACCCCTACCTTATACTAGTCATAAAAACTAAATCAAAAGGGATCAATGACCTAAATATTAAAGCTAAAAAGATAAAACTCTTAGGGGGAAAAAAAAACATAGATAAATCTTCATGAACGTCAAGAATATTTGGAAAACATTTTTAAATATAACACCAACAGCATAATCAACAAAAGAAAAACATAGACAAATAAGGTTTCATTTAAATTTATATCTGTACTTGTGTGCCAATGAACACCATCAAGAATATATGGGGGGGGGGACTAAGTGAGATTCAAAATGTAATACTCAGGATAAATATCAAAACTGATACTTAATACTGATACACAGGTATATTGCCAAGAATATATTAGAATTAAGAATTGGTATAAATACCAGTTTCAAAAAAGAAAACCTGCAGCTTTATTGAGGTGTAATTTATAAAACATGCATTTTGCTCATTTAAACCATACAGTTCTGTAGTTTTTGGTGTATTCACAGATGTGTGCAACTGTCATCACAGTCAGTTTTAGAACATTTTCATCACCTCCACAATAAGCAGCCTCTAATCTGCTTTCACCATCATAGGTTCTCACCCATCCATAGGGCTTCCTGACACTGGTTATGGAAGGCTGTTTAGTGACTTTTCCTAACTACTTTCACAAATATAGCATTCCTTGTTATGTAGGCATACTGAAGACTCTGTTCCGTGATCTCAGGATCAGCTAGTGACCAGAGCATATTTCCTTAAATGCCAGAGACAAAAAGGGCTCAGAGCATATTGGCTCTGAGTAAAGCATTCCTTCAGTGCTAACCCAACTACAATTCTGCCTTAGCTTTCTTGTTTAGTGGAACACAAATATCAGTCACTCATCATTCCTGCTCCAGGTAGCAATGATGGGGTAGTATATATCTTTGAATGCTTCCATCAGAAGCTACCTATAAAGTCATTCCAACCTGAGGGGAAAAATTTAAGGTTAGACACTATGCTGGTTTTGTAGGCAACCATCAGACATGTCAAATGCATGACCACCGTTTTTGAGAACATAGTTCATGGAGCATGGCCCATTCTTTACAAGGCTGCGCCATGATGGGACTTGGAGATGCTATCTAGGCAAGTAGGCAAAAATGACAAAATGCTTTCTTACCATAATTCAGCTGTCTATTTATTAAGCACTTCTGATTGACTTAGATGTTAATTAGAATCAAGTGAAGAACATATTGATCAGGTCAGTTTTTGCTAGCTTAATTCTTCCTTTAGTGAAGAGACCAATTCTTGGAGCTCCTTCCTCTGGTACTATTGCTGGTTATTGTTACTTCTGCAAATAGTTTGGGAAATCCACTGTCTGGATAAAGTTTGTATGTTCTCCCCAAGCCTGCATAGGTTTTCTCTGAGCCTGGTTTCCTTCTACAACCCAAAGATTTGAAGGTTTGGTTCATTGTCATGTCTAAATTATCCCAGTCGAGTCAGTGTGTATGTATGTGTGTATGTGTGATGACTATGTGTCATCGCCACTAGCAAGAGAAACAAAAGACACATGGCATTATCTCAATCTAAAAAGCTGCTGCACAGCTAGTGTTAAAATCAAAGGCAGTTGGCCCTCCCTGGTGGCGCAGCAGGTTAAAGCACAGCACTAAGAAGCTAAAGCCACTTCCGCATGAGTTTGATTCCCGCCTGCCCTGGAGGTGACCACATGGCGTGGCAGACCTCTCCTGACCCGCCCGCTGCTCCCCTCAGCAGTGTACTTCGTCGATCTGCCTGTTCTGCTCCCCACTCTGTCTCTGGTGAAGCCTCTCACCGCCCCTGAGCCTCTGGCCTGTACCCCAGTTCTATATGTACAAATAAATAAATCTTAAAAAAAAAAAAAATCAAAGGCCGTTGCGCCTCCCTGGTGGTGCAAAAGGTTAAAGTCTCAGCACTATCAAGCTATCACCAGCCACTGCAGCCTGAATTTGATTCCCTGCCGGGGAGGTGATCCACATGGTGTAGCAGACTTCTCCTGACCCCCCTGCTGCTCCTCTCAGCAGTGTACATTAGTCAATCTGCCTGTTCTGCTCCCCACTCTTGTCTCTGGTGAATCCTCTCATCCTCCACACCTGTGGCCTAGACCCCAGTTTTTGTATGTATAAATTAAAAAAAAAAAATCTTAAAAGCAAGTCTACCGTATTGTAGAAAATATTTGCAACCATGTATCAAAGGGTTTTACTCAAAATATATAGATAACTCACACAACTCAGCAACAACAAAACAAAACAAAACAAAATATGGTTACCACAAGGGAAGGGAGAGTGGAGCAGGTTAGCAGAGGCTGATTGGTCAGTGGTGGCTGGTAAGTGGTCATTTGGTGGTGAGAATGGTGTGACAGATACAGTCATAGTGAAAATGGTACATCTGAAACCTGTAGAGAGTGTAAATAGTGTTACCTCACTAAAAATGTTTTCTAGTTTTAAGAAAGTTTATTAATGACTTAGATGTGAGGTGTGAGGAAAGGAGAGCAAACTAGGGTGCTTTCTAGGTTTGTATCCTAGACTACGACAGTGCCAGCAAGCACAGGGCAGGCTTACTATCAGCTAGGACAGACAGATAAAGGGGAGCCCGGGAGCCCTCAGTGACCTTTTTTTTTAAGATTTATTTATTTTTTAAATTTATGCATATTTATTATGCATATGTAATACAGGCTAGAGATACAGGTACAGGCTAGAGAACTGAGGTACAGGCTAGGTACAGGGTGTGAGAGGATTCACCAGAGACAGAGTGGGGAGCAGAACAGACAGAATGACTGAAATACACTGCTGAGGGGAGCAGAGGGCTGGTCAGGAGAGGTCCACCACACCATGTGGATCACCTCCCTGGCCGGAGGGTAGCTCCACAGTGCAGCACTTTAACCTGTTGCACCACCAGGAGGGCCCTTTTTCAGGCTTTAAAGCTGTTTCTATGCCAATTGTTGTGGGGCAAGCCTGCAGGCTGGTAAGTCAGGAAGCCCTCCCAACCTCCAGGGAATCTTCATTCTTTCTCTTCCAGCTCTCTCTAGCCTCTTCCAATGGCCCCGCCTCTCTGTAGTCATTCGCCTGCTGGGAGCTGTTCAACCATCACCTTCCGCCTTGTCTCTGAGTAACACCACCCTGAGAGCCTCAGCTTCTAGGCTCAAATGTGCCCACTCACGCCCACATCATACTCCAGGTGTCCACGATCCCAAGCGCCCCTTGTGTAAACACAATCAAAGTCACTGGTAATGGCCACAGAGGCCAATGGCATACAAACCTGACCAATTCACTTACCCTGCAACAACCAAAAGGACAGTGGGAACACTTGCAGGGATAAGGAAGATTGGGGAGCAAGAAACTTGGACCAAAAATCTTCTTTGGGTCATATTAAATTTGAGATGCTTGTTAAACATTCATGAGGAGATGTGAGGCCAGCTGTTGAACATGTCTCCTCTTCATGGAGTTAACGGGCTGAATGTGAGGCGATCTAGTTTCCTTCAACTATGCTGAAAACATCCAACAAAGTGCATCATGATGGATTTAATAAATTAGAGTGTACTCACACAATGCTATTGCATGAAGTGGCATGCATAGGTGATTTTTAGTTGAAAAAAGATGATAAAAAGTGCATATGGTTTGCATCCGTTTCTGACTATTATAATACATACACATTTCCTGACAGGCTAGACAGTACGCAGTGGTTACCTCAGATCTTGGGATTTGGTGCATTTTTCTTCTTTTTAAATCTCGCTGTTGGTTTAAAATGTCTTCAGTAATCATGTATCTACCTGTGTAATTTGTCTCGTAAAGAAAATCTATTCCAGCTGGGGAATCTGACAGGTGAGGGCTATCAAGGTGGTGAGGGTGGAGATGGACCAGATGCAAAGTCGGGAAGGCGCAAGATGAGAGGTAGGGGCGGAGGGAGCCGGTCAGAGGGCGCCGCCCCTGCGCGTCACGTGGTCGCCGACCGCCAATGACCGCGTCCGAGCCCACCTTAGGGACGGGGCGGGGCGCCCAGCTGGCGTCACCAGGACAACGGGCGTTGCCGGCGCCTTGTGACTCCGGGCTGTGGGCGCGCTCGCGGCTCTTCGGCCATGGTGAGTCTGGGCCGGGTGCCGCCCGCCCTTCCCCGCCGGAGCTGTGTCCCCGCGGGGTCGCCCTCTAGGTTCGGCGGTGGCTCAGGGGTCGCGGAGAGGCCAGGCCCGCGGCCTGCGGGGCTGCGGGACAGGGTTGGGCGGGCCCGGGGAGGGGGACCCTGGGGGACCTGGAGCCGCCTGCCTGGGGTTATGGTCACGCCGCGTTAAACGCTGTTGAATGTATGGGTCACAGTTGGGTCACCTCCCAATCCCCCCGCGCCGTAACAGACACATTGCCGGTGGCCTTCAGGACGGTGTGACGCTCTTTGGCCACGAGAGCCTGGAAAGCCACCCGAGAGGGTGTGGTTTAAGGAAAAAAGGATATGTCTGAGTAGCATATATGTATATCTATATAGATAGGTAGATGGATCTCCACGCTCGCACCATTCCACTCTGTGCTTACTGTCTTGTTTCTGTGCCTTTGTATAAAAAATAACATCATAAATATTGCTTTTAAATTCTTTCTGACAGATTTTTTTTTTAGCATGTGGAAATTTTACATTTGTCATTTTGGTGATCTCCCCTGTCCTGTTTAGACAACGGAGGCAGTAAGCTGGTGTTTGACCATAGCACTCTCACTAAGGGGTTTCATTAGTAATTAGTACATGGTAGCTGTCTTCATTTACCACCTTTATGCAATAAACTTGAGAACGAAATGGGCATATATCACTTGACCGCCTGGGGCCCCCCTCTTCCCCCCCCCCCACCCCTTTCAGCTCGTTTTGCAAATACGACTTGAAGATTCAGCTGAGATGTTGTCTTCAGTAGACATGATTCTGAAATTGCCAACCAAAGGTGTGATTTCTCCAGAGGCCTCCAAACGGTGTAAAAGAATGGAGGAGCTGAGCCCTCTGCCTGGGGACACACCTTTGGTATAGGTAGCTGGAGCAGTAGAGCTTGATAATAAGGAAATGCCGGGTTTTGAGAAAGTGGTCTTTTATCATCTGTCATTTAGTATAGGCTCTTTATGGTCAAGGATTAGTGGAACTGCTGATGAGCTGAGAATGCAGGGTGCTCCCAGGTGGCAATGGCCTTCTGGAACGTTGAAGATGTGGGACTCTGGCTGGCTCTGGCTTTTCATACTGAGAGGTATGGTAGTAGAGAAGATTTGTGGCTTGTGTCTCTCCTTGATTGGAAAAACACTTGCCAGGTGTGTGGCCTTTGGCGGCAGGAAGAGAACACCCACAAGTAAAAGACATGGCTTTATGTATGTTTCTTTAAGTTCTTTAAATTTAGGTGATAGATTATGAGGCAGGCAAGGTTTCCGAAAATGAGTATTATAGAAGTCTAAGCTTCTGTAATATTGAATATTGAAATGACTTATTTTCATAGGTTACATTAAGTAACTCTTAAAATTACAGCAAGGAGGGGAGACTATTCAAAAATTTCACAGCTCTCTAAAGGCCTCCTGTTGTCCATTCTTCCTTATTTTCATCCACTACTTCCATCCTGACCCACGGTTTATCTTGACTCATATTACTTCAGAATTTTACTAATGCTAAGATAAAAGCTTTATAGTCCACTTTTGTATTGTGGTTATTTTGCTGAACTTAGAAATGCTTAATTTTAGTGTGTCTTTAAAAAGTTAACTCTTAGGAACTTAACTCAAGGCAAGTGGCTAATTGAGTGATAAATGGATGCCTGGGCTACGCGGGAGGTGGGGAATGGTTGGCATCGGTGGGGAGAGTGAAGAGATAGCCTGTCTGATCCCCCAAATTGTAATCCAGATACATTACACTTCACTAATTACATTAATTAAATAAATCTTTGCACGTCATCAAATCTAAACATACTGTTACAGCTTGATTATATAAACAGCTTCACATGCATTTGGAACTCTGCTTAATTATTTCTCAATGAAAATTTCAACTTAGCTGCTTGTTTTGTTGCCTCTATAATTAAATGACAGCTGACATTTATGGTATACTCTGTATGAGACACTTTTCTAAGCACCTTGTGTATAGTTTTTCTTTCTAAGGATTTATTTATTTATGGATACAGAACTGGGGTACAGGCCAGAAGTGCAGGAGCAGTGAGAGGATCCACCAGAGACAGAGTAGGGAGCAGAATAGGCTGACTGACGAAGTACACTGCTGAGCAGGCGGGTCAGGAGAGGTCTGCTGCGCCATGTGGTCACCTCCAGGGCTGGGGATCGAACTCATGCCGAAGTGACTTTAGCTTCTTAGTGCAGTGCTTTAACCCGCTGCGCCACCAGGGAGGGCCCTGTGTGTAGCAACTCTGTGGGGAAGATAGCATTACCCATTATTTTTTAAAAGATCTATTTATTTATGCATACAAGAGCTAGGGTATAGGCCAGAGGTGCAGGGTAAGGGAGAGAAGTCACCAGAGGCAGATTGGAGAGCAGAATAAGTGGATTGACTGAAATACACTGCTGAGGGGAGCAGTGGGTGAGACAAGAGAGGTCTCCTGCACCTTGGGTCACCTCTCTGGCCGGGGATCGAATTCATGCTGTGATGGCTGCGATAGTTTCTCTCTCCTTGTGCTGAGAGTTAACCCCTCTCGCCACCAAAGAGGCCCTATCCATTTTAGAGATGAGTAAGTTGAGACACAGAGATGTACAGTAACTTGGCCGATCATCCAGTTGCTAAAAGTGAATGAGATTTCAAAAACAGGAGGTTTGTCTCAGAGTCTTGTTAGGTAGTTAATTGGATTATACTGTACTGTCTAGTTATATGTTCCCCTACTATCTGTTCTATATTATGTCATGTATGTTAGGAACTTACTTTCCTTTCTTACTTGTACTTTTATGTTGAACACTTGTGAATACGTGTCACTGGCTTATGTGCTACAGAACAGAGTAGGACTGCCTTGCCTTTTTTCCCCTCCCCTACAAGGTGAAATAAGAAAATTCATGAAGACATGTTAGTGCATTAGATTCAGACTCAGTTATAATAGCATTGAAAGTTCCTCCTGTCACTTTATCTTCAGGAATTGGCCCCTCTTTTTCGTGAATCACAGAAATCAGTGTTTTCTATGAAGCCATTTAGACTTGGGAATGAAACTTTTTTTTTAAAAAGATTTATTTATTCGTACAGAACTGGGGTACAGGCCAGAGATGCGAAGGGTGAGAGGATTCACCAGAGATAGAGTGGAGCACAGAACAGGCAGATCGACGAAGTACACTGCTGAGGAGAGCAGTGGGCGGGCCAGGAGAGGTCTGCCGGGCCATGTGGATCTCCTCCGGGGAAAGCGGGGATCGAACTCATGTGGAAGTGGCTTAAGCTTCTTTGTGCTGTGCTTTAACCCGCTGTGCCACCAGGGAGGGCTGGGAATGAAACTGTTTTTAAAAAATAAAATGTTCTTTTTGAGATATTTCCTATTAGTACTTTCACATTTGTTTTAGTTTCATGTTCTAAAACTATTTTTAAAGTGACATCAAGTCATTGGGTAAGCTCTAACTCATACAGCTCTAAATATGCATTAGGATACCTGTTAAGTTTTTGATATTGCTTACTTACTACTTAAGCTGTGACACAGATTGTTTTAAAATATAAAAATAGTTTTCCCTTGTTATTTCATTTACTTGCAATTCCCCCCAATGTTGGGACATCTTTTTTTGTATTTGTCTGTGGTCAGTAACTCCTGAGAGGTGTTGGCAAGCACTGGGTCGGGGGAAAGATTACAGTGAAATATATCCAAGGTTTATATGCAGTTTTAGTCTATCACATGGTATAGTTAAAAGAGCTTATATAATTATATCTATATTATGTAATGAGATCTATGTTAATATATCACCATAAGAGAGTTCTCTGTATTTTCCTACTCTTTATAATATCGGTGTCTCTTTTGTCTATACTAGGGTAGAACAGAAATTACAGTAATTGTAGCAAATCTCTTTCATCAAACTTTTCCACTGCCCAGTTTGGGCTAATCACTTCATGTTTATCTCATTTAACCCTTTCAGCATCCCAGTGAGATTGAGGTTATTTGGTCAATGTGGGTGATTTTCACCAGACATTACATGTCGGTGTCAGCTTGCCCAAGGTTGTATAGCTGGGAGTGACAGAGTCAGACTTGAATTCGGCCCATCACTATTAAATATACCATGAGTTTTTTCAGAACTAAGGATTGTGCGCTGTGCCTGGTATTTTACACCAAGATTAAGAGTCTTAGTGATCAGCTGAGCCTGCCTTTTTTTTTTTTTTTTTTGATGATTAGCTATTATGACATCTTGCAGGATTTACTTGTTGCTTTTTTTTTTCTTTTCCAACTTCAGACAACTGAATTCATATCTGGACAGTGCTGACTTGGTTATGCTCTCATCTCTGCTTCTCCTGTTGCATTCTGTATCTCATGTCTGCCTCAGTTACTGCCACGTATAGCATTGAGCTGACTACTACAGAGATGAGAGCAGGTGGCTGTAGGGAAGCAGAACAGGCTGTTCTTGAGAAAGCTCTTCTGGAGCTTCCAGGGTTCAAACTCAGTTTTCTGGGTTCCCAGTGCTGTCCAAATAATTGTGTCTTCCCATTACATTTTGTGTCCTATAATTTTGTGTCCAGCAAATACTTGTGTGCTAAATGTGGGTCATTGTGCTAGGCAGTGGGTATTCTGCAGTAAATGAAACAGACAAGGAAGGCTCTGCCCTCATGGGCTTTCACCTCCTAGGAAGGTAGTAAAAGGTGCTCTGAGGAAAAACAAAACATGATAAGAGGAAATTTAGGTAGGGTGGGAAAGTGGGTGAGAGAAGAGAAGACTTGCTTTTTTTTATAAATATTTATTTTGCATACAAGAACTGGGATACAGGCCAGAGGCAGGGGTGGGAGTGAGGGGTGGGGGTGGTTGTGAGAGGAATCACCAGAAACAGAGTGGGGAGCAGAACAGGCAGATTGAGAAAGTACACTGCTGAGAAGAGCAGTGGGCAGGTCAGGAGAGGCCTGCCACACCATGTGGGTCACTCCCTGGCCTGGAATCGAGTTCTTGTTGCAGGGGCTGCTGATCGCTTCATAGTGTTGTGCTTTAACCCATTGCGCCACCAGGGAGGCCCAGGAAGACTTGCTTTTTAATGTGGAAGGTGAGGAAGACCTCTCTGATGAGGTGACTTGAGCAGAGGATATATCATGGGGCTATCTGGAGATGAGAGTCTTCCTTTCAGGAGAGAACATAAATGCAAAGGTCCTGGGGCTGGTATGTTGGAGGAACAGGAAGGAAAACAGTGTCTCAGGAGTAATATAGCAAAGCATATTAGGAGATAAGACCAAAGTAGTCATGGAAGACAAGTTATGTAGATTAAAGCACTTTGCTGTTTGCACCAAGGGCAAGTGACTATGGGGGAAGAAGAGGAAAACATAAGGTGACTATATGACTATATTTCATGAAGGAGCATCCTCTGCTGTGTGGAAAATACATGAAATAAGACTGAGGCTGCAAAGGACAGAAACAAAGGGACCACAGGACATTATTGTGGAAATCTATAGGGTTGCTAATAGAATTTAAAAAAGAAAATGCCAAGGATAGTTACAGTGACTTGAGCCAGAGCCAGAGGAAAGAGTTGTCATTTACCATGAAAACTGGGAGGAGTAAGTTCAGGTTAGGGATAATGAAAGCAGGACTTTAAGTTTGTGATCTTTACAAGATGGCTAAAATCTGAAGACATATGTTAGCACATGATTATGCTTCTAGAAACAGTATGGAGTGATATCCAGGGAGGGACCCCAGCATTTAAGGGGTGCATAAGGGTCCCGACATCCACATGTCCAAAGGCAAAGGAATCACACACAGTGAAAGATTTTTAATAGAATTGGTGTGTGTGGGAAGGGGACCTGAAGTTGGGGAGTGGGGGAAGAGATTTCCTTAAGGTGCAGAGGGTAGTACTGGAGAACAGATGCTAGCTGGTAGCCAGATCATAAAACAGGAAGAAAACTGTCACAATTTGGAAAGCTGGCGGCTAGTTACAACGTTGTAAAGCTCAAAGTGCTCTGTGAAGTTGTGTCAGTGTTCAGACTGTCAACATCTCCTGAAGGTAAAGTTCTGATTTCACCCTAACATAATTCTAAGACAATTTTGAACTGAGTCCAACTGGTGCTACAACAAATCTCAAAGCCAGCTGAACATCAAACTAAAAGGATTTAGTTTTTCTCATTCCTACCTTAACCCAATGGAAGGGTCAACTGCCCTTTATTGGAGATACATTTTTTTGATATATAATATTTGACATGAAACAACACATTGTAAACATGCAAAGACACAGGACATGTGAGCCATAGTCAGGAGAAGAGATAACATCGTTGTTGGTGCCCTAGGTGTTGAACACACTGATGAACAGATAGAAAAGGAAGCTGGAAAACTTTATAATGAGCCAAGTGTTAATGCTAGCAATGGTAAATGTGATCTCAGAAAATTACAAATTCACTTAATGACCTTACCAGCAAACTGGCACATCAGTAAACCCCAAGTGGGAAAAATATAACAAAATCTCAGCTTATACACATCGTTGCCAAATTGGCAAAAATTAGATATTTTAATGATGGAAATCCTAAAAAGAGATAAAGAAAGACAACTATGAATTGCCTTTCTTGGTATCTGATGAGTTGACATCTTATCTGCCAATGCAGACCAGAGGACATAACTTCTTATTTTTTTAAAGATTTATTTGTGCATATAAGAGCTGGGGTACAGGCCAGAGGTGCAGGGGGTGAGAGAATTCACCAGAGGCAGATTGGGGAGCAGAACAGGCAGATCTAAAATTCACTGCTGAGGGGGGCAGTGGGCAGGAAGGAGAGGTCTGCTGGACCACGTGGGTCAGCTCCCTGGCTTGGGATTGAGCTTGTGCTGTAGTAGGTGCAGGTAGCTTCATAGTGCTGCGCTTTAACCAGTTGCATCACCAGGGAGGGCCCGAGATAGGATTCTAATTCATAAGTTTTACATTAGTTAACTAATCCTGTCAGTGTGCGTTGAGAAGACCATTCTTTCCCCAGTCTTGTCAAAAATCAGTTGTCTGTAAATCTATGGTTCGTTTCTGGATGCTCATATTCTATCTCTTTGATCTATTATGTGTATCCTTATGCCATTAACACAGTTAACTTTATTTTATTTTTAAAGATTTTTATTTGTATATAAAAGAACTTAGGTGTAGGCCAGAGATGCAGGAGATGAGAGTATTCCCCAGAGAGACTGGGAGCAGAACAGGTGGATTTACTGAAATACACTGCTAAGGGGAACAGCGGGCAAGACAGTAAAGGTCTGCTGCGCCATGTGTGAGTCAGCTCCCTGGCTGCCATTGCAGCAATCCGATCGGGCTGAGACTTACCCCTCTGTTACCAGCGAGGCCCTCCACCCCCCACCAATTACTATAACTTTCTAGTAAGCTTTAAAATCAGGAAATGTGATTTTTCTTTTAAAGATTATTTTGATTATTCTGTGTCCCTTGATTTCTATATGATTTTTAGTATCAATTTTTAAAAAATTTTCCAAGAAAAGGCAGCTGGAATTTTGATAGGAATTTCATTAAATCTGTGAATAATTTTGAAAAGTGTCATTAACTTAATGCTATAAAATCTTTCATGGACATGGAGTGTCTGTTTGCTTAAATCTTTAATTTCTCTCAACAATGTTCTGTGCAGGTTTTCAGCATAAAAGTCTTGCACTTCTTTAGCTGTTCATTTTTCTATTAAAAAAGATTTATGTATTTATGCATACAGAAATGGGTACAGCCAGAGGTGCAAGGGTGGTGAGAGGCTTCACCAGAGACAGAGTGGGGAGCAGAATAGGTAGATCAACAAAGTACACTGCAGAGAGGAGCAGCAGGCGGGTCAGGAGAGGTCTGCTGTGCCATGTGGTCACCTCCTGGGCAGGCGGGGATCGAACTCATGCGGAAGTGGCTTTAGCTTCTTAGTGCTGTGCCTTAACCCACTGCGCCACCAGGGAGGGCCGAGTGGTTTATTTATTTATTTTTAAAATTTATTTCTTTGTACATACAAGGGCTGGGGAGTGGGGCAGAGGTGCGGGGGTGGGCAAGAGGATTCACCAGAGACAGACATTGTGGGGAGCAGAACAGGCAGAACAACTGATATACACTGCAGGAAGGAGCAGAGTGCTGGACCAGGAGGGAGAGGGCTGCTGTGCCGCATGGATCAGCCCCAGGCTGGGGATAGACTCTGTCCTGAAGCGGCTGCAGACAGCTGCCTGGTGCTGAGAGTTAATAATCCCTTGTACCACCAGAGAGACTTGTTTAGTTGCTTATTCCTGATGCTGCTGTAATGAAGTTTTCTTAAATTCATTTAAAGTTTATTCACTGTTAATATATGGAAATGCAGTTTATTTTATGTAAATATTTTGTATATCAGTATATTATATACTGCAATCTTGCTAACTCCTCAGTTCTACTAGATTTTTTGTGGATTTCTTAGAATTTTCTAAATACAAGATTGTGTTATATACGAATAGAGGTTATTTTGCTTCCTTTCAAACAGGAATGCCTTCTATTTTGCTTTTGTAATACCCTTGACTAGAACCTTCAATAAAGTGTAGTATACTAATGGCTGTGTATTGCCATTTTTATGAAGTCGTGATAGGATATAAACAGTGTGTTGGCTTCATGAAATTATATCTATAGGGCAGTGATTGGGGTCATTTTGTTCTAAGAAAATGTAATTTAATTATTAATTGAGACCACTTATATAATCCCTTTTTCTTCCTGTTCAGGTTTTCTCAAATAATGATGAAGGCCTTATTAACAAAAAGTTACCAAAAGAACTTCTCTTAAGGTAAGTGTAAGTAAACTTAAATAGAGAATTAAGATTTGATTCAGTCAGCAAGTTCCAAGACTATCTTCTTTCTCACTGTGAGTCCATAGCATAGAAAAACAGACAGAATTAGCCTAACTGACTTTTTGTTTTTGTTTTATAGAATGCTGTTCAGCTTGTTGTTAAATTTTACTTGGTCTAATCCAGAATGTACTAAGTATGTACATAGCATTGGTCTGGATTCTTTTTGTAATGTGGTAAGTATTGTAATAATCTTCAGTAGGTGCCATTGTTTGGGTATCAGTAGATAATCAATGTAGTCAGTAACATGAAGAGAGATGATTATTAAGGTTGTGAGCTGCTAAAGGTGAAACATTTAGATATTTTCTGATAAGTCAGTTTAAGATAAGTACAGTTATATGTTCTCCTGAGCACTTAAAATTGAAATAAATGCAGCCTTCCAAATTAATGTTTTTATTTTATGAGAATTTTGTGCTTAGTGACAGTGAATATTATAAAGCAGGTCTTTGTCCTTTATTTCTGCAATCATTGAGCATATAGTAAATGTTACTTTGCTTGTCATTTTGCTAGGTAAAGCTGTCAAGCCATATTTGTTGACTTGAGGCACAGCGGTTTCCTTTAGCACTCTGCAATCATCAAAGAAATCTTTTTTTTGGTTCAGTTGTTATATTTTAATTATCTACTAATAATATAGATCTATTAATAATATTTTAATTATCGACTACTAATCTTTGACATTCCCCAAACTCTCTTATCACTGATTTTACGTAAAAGTCTTTATGATCATATCAGTATGGCAAACAACTGACTCAGCAAAGCCAATTTATTTACTTGGAGCCTTGGTAGGCTAGCCTGCATGGTGATGCTGCCACATGGGCAGTTGTGGCGTAGCAAACATTTTGACCACAGAACTCATTTGATATTGCATATAACATTATTGGGAAATAGTTGACATACATTAAACATTGACTAGGTGATTTATTTCCTGGAAGTACTAAGATTCACTTTTATACTGGGGAGATGAATTTGAGTGTAAGTTTTGTTTACTCTGTAAAGGCTACAGATTATTCACTGTTGTTGTCCTTAGTATGTTAGACCTTTTTTCTATAGTCAGAAATTGGGTGAGGATTTAGCTTTATGTGGTGATCACATTTCAGGAACTTGAGAGTATCTGATCGTGTACTATTTGGTACTCTTGTCATGAGCTCATTTTACTAACTAAAAAAGAAAATTAACTCATGACAGGAGCTTATCAATAGCAATGATGTTTTATTTCAGTAAAGAAAATGTTTGGATACAAGAAAAACGTTGGTGTTGTACAACATTACAAGTTTAACAGTGTTAACCAGGAAGGGAATGTACAGCTGTCCCATAAACCCACAAGATCTTGATAAGCACAGGTAAACTATTAGAACAATATGGCAGGGTTAGGGTGAGCAGGCTATCACTATACACAGAATACAATGTGGGTGGTGTCTCCTAAAATTGTATAATGTTTTATCCTTAGTCTGAACATTTTTCTACTACAGACATAAAACTGTAATATGAATGTATCATTCTTCATCTGGGGATTCATAACCAGTTTCAGACAGACCCATATTAATTATTCAACACTGGGCTGTGATTAAACTCCATCCTTTTGGTGAATACTGATGCAGTCTGTGATTCAGGGCTACTAAATTACTTTTTTTTTTTCTTCTTATGTCAGATAGGGTTAACTACTTAGCCATGGGACAGTTTTTATCAGCTGCTCCCCAACCCCCAAAAAAGAACTGCATCCCTTTCTGTGATAGTATACTTTCTCAACCATTGTCTTAGAAATTTTATTTCTTTTAAAGATCTGTGGTATACTCAGTCGTTACGAATCCTGGAGGTTGTCATCATTAGTTACAGCTTTTGAATTATGCAACACAGCTTCATACATAGACCATTTTCAAGAAATAATTGCCACTTGAGCGCAAATATTTATAACATTTCATAGATTTGCATTCCCACTTCTGAGGATTTAGTTGGGAGTTTGTAAGGGAATTTAAATTTTAAAGTACTGCTACTACAGGCATTCCCTTGTGCATTTCAAAATTAACTGTGGCCAACTATGGCACTTGAATTTTCTCGGCCTTTAAGTCATGCTTGCCAGTTTACTGTCGGTTTTATATTCACAAAATAGTAGCTCTCTCCTTTCCTAAGCAAATGTTGAAGTAGGGTTTGAACCAGATTACAGAAGCAACCATCTTCATCATTTAGTACTACAACACAGTGAGTGAGTTCCCACCTCCTGGAGGTTATGTGCTGATTATTTTTGCTCAGTTAAATGAAGTCTTCATAATTTCAGACTGACCTAGGCCTGCATTTTTGCTTCATATCGTGTGTAGTCTTTGTGTCAGTGCAGACTGCTGTTTCTGTTTTCACTGAATTCCTGTTCACCTTCAGTATTAATTCAATAGGTGTGAAGTCTTTGAGTTTGATATTCTTGTTCACTTACTAGCCTGTCATTTTGCTCTTAGGTCATTTTGATGTATCTTTACCACCCTCTTAATTTCTCTACTAACTTCTATTTATCACAATGAAGCTACGCTTCTCTTTTGGATCTGTTAGGAAGCATAACCTGGAATTGTGAATTTCTTTTCATCTTTGAACATTACTTTGTATCCCCTCAGAAAAGTCTGAGGTTTTTCCATCTGATTATTTATTACTAATTTTAAGAATCCTATTTCATTGATTCACAGATTCCTTCTACTGCTCATTGTTCATTTGTTACTTAACAAGTTTTTTGCAACTTTACTCTTCTACAAAACTTTCCCCATAAGTTCAAGGTATTCAGGTTCTCCCTCTCTATTCTTTACCTTCACACAGTTCAACAGATAGCTTGTAAGTTTGTTCTTTCTGGAGAGTTTGTTATATAATTCATATAACAATGGGAATATTTAATTTTTGTGATCTGTATATTATTAGTGCATTGGGTTTTTCTTACATGTTTTTGTTTATATTACTTTTGGAGCAGACTTTTTGGGTTGCTATTTCAGCCCTAACCATTTACCAATTGTGTGAGTTTAGTTAAAGTTGCTTAAATTGTTTCATATTTAATCTCACCTGTAAAACAGGAATAGTAAAAGTTCTTTCCTCATGTGGTTATTGCTGACTCTTAGAGTACTTCATGTTTAATGAATAATGAAAAATGTTAGAACTTTTGTTATGAAATAATAACAAAATGCTTTCATGATGCAATGAATTTGAATAGTAACAGTTTGTAAGCAAGCAGTCCTGATAATGGACCTTAATAAATGCTTATTGCTATTAATAAAAAAGTGTTAAGAACATGTAGCCTAATGATTCATTTCATCTACCAGTACTAATTCAGTCTCAATGGAAACCGCATTTCCATCTGATAGTAAACTGACAGCTACTAGGTCTTTGGCAGATTAGCAGTGGTGGTGTGACAACTGGCAGTTACTTGTTTCATAAAATAGCAGTCTCTTGGAATGAATTTTTGTCTTAAGCCTATGTGAGTTTGGCCTCAAACTCAGACTATACATTTTAATATTAATTTGTTCAGCCTACAGTTTTTACTTCCCTGAGGTTGCTTTCAGATGTTAATGATGGAGCAGAAAACATGTAAACTGCTTCTCAGGAGATAGAGACAAACACTAAATATTTTAGAGCACACTAACAAGACAAAGCTCTTGTTAGTACTAAATAGGAAAGAAACCTCTTATTAGACACATTTAAAAATTTGAAATCACCGTTATTTATGTGATTTTTCTCTCCTTTTTAAATTTATGTGGATAGATGACAAAATTAACTACTTACAGTGTTTGTTAGCTTGATGAAGGAAGATTTGATTGCTCCAAACAAGAGAGCTGAGCCTAATAATTCTGGGCAATACAAAATCAACTGCACAATTACATAATTTGGCAGTTAGTGGTTAGCTAAAGGGAAAAGTATAAAATGAATAATGTATACATTTTCAAATTTTCTTTTCTAAAATTTCTAAGTGCATGAAATTGAAATTTCACTCCAAAATGAGTGAAAATAATTGTTTCTTGCTGTAATCATTAAGTTACAGCCCACTAGTTATGTTTAATCATGGGACCTTGGGGAGCAGTGCAAGTAAAGGGCTCATTCCTGTTTGGGGCATCATTGAGTGGGTGTTCCTGCCTGCTAGTTGGTTTCAGCACTCCATGGACTTTTTCAAGGATTGGTGCCTTCATCTCCTGCTGTCTGTGATTCTTTATAGATATTCCAAAGCAGCTTAACAGGTAAGATGCCATTTGGAGTAGGCTGTATATTGCAAATTCAAGTTTTAGCATAATGCAGATTTTTTTGTTGTTGTTCAAGTTTTTTTTTTTTTTTTCCTTAAAGGTTTGTTACTGTGGTGTTTACCTTTTCAGGAGGCAATACCAGACTGAATTATTGTATATAGAAATCAGAGGAAGAAACTTACAGGCCCCTCCTTTCTCTGTACTTCTATATATCATTAAGTACTGTTTCAGCCTTGGCAGCTAAGTCCAAAATCATGGCAGAAGCACATTTTCCCTAGTTTAGATTGGAGTTATGCTTACATGTTGAAACTTTAATGATACCTTTGAAATTTTAATCTACCCTGAAGTGATATAAAACACCAATAAAGTTCCATACACAGCAAGAATAGACATTCTGCTTCAGAGCTTGATCTCTGGAAAGCTATATCGGAGACTTATTTTTTTTAAATAAATGTTGATTTACAAAATTGTGTATGACTTAAAAGTGTAGGTTCACATCCATTCAGGTCACCGCACCGCATCCACCATCAAAGCCAATAACTGTTTATTGCAGATCATTAGACCTCTACCCCATTGTGTTCCTTACTCAACCCTTACCCTCTGGTAACCTCAAATCTAAAGTTAAATTTCTAGGATTTGTTTTCATTTAATTTGTTTCTACTTTTGTTTCTCTGTATTCCACGTGAGTGAAATCATCCAGTATTTTTCTTTCTCCTTCTGATTTATTCTGCTTCCTTGTTG